TGTGTGTGTGTGTGTGTTATCTAAACATAATTATACCTGTAGATTGACACACATTAGGAAAATGCAACACGGCGAAAATAAAACATCCTGCAACATAAAGAATATTTAGAGACAACAAAGAGAGAGCTGATTAACAGTTCTCAAACTGTGTCTGTCTGCTTTTTGCTGCTGAGCATGCATTATACACGTGTGGTTTATGAGAGCTTTGTAACATCTGAAGATCTGGCACCTTTCTCACCTCTGCACACCTGGCCAATTACTGCTTGAAGTGGGTGTCAAAGTTCTGCTGAAACATACTGGCAGCTTCAGTGAACAGTCTGAGAGTCCTGGGTGCCTTGCACACCTCCATGTCCAAATCTAATTCCTGCCCTCCCTTACCGCTTACTGATGGGCCTGAGGGAGACACCCCCCACCCCCCACTGGGAGAAGCAGACTGGCAAAGTAAAACCCTCTAATGGCACAGCTGCAGACAAATATTGAACCAAAAAGCAATCGATTATGGGTAACTTTCTGGGGCAAGCCAGAGGCTTTACTGTGGAAAGGAGGTTTGGATGCAGGACATTTCTAGTGAGAGATGCAGATTGGTTTGTTTTTTGTGTTTGTGGAATACAGGAATATTAAATTAAGTTAATGTAGAGGATAGTTACAACTCACCTCAGTGAAAAAAAAACAAATGACAACCCAGTTTTATTCTGTTGTGTGAGTTAGTTCTAGTAGAAATGTGTAGATTTAATACATCAAAGTGTGTTTACACTTCTTATGGAGTATTACTGGATATGTGAAAAACCTTGTAGGCTATAAAGTGTTTTGTAGCTGCAGAGGGAGCTGTGCAAAGTCTGATAAATTGTCTCAAGGGATGTAATTTAAGATGTCAGTCAGGTCTAAAGACTGCAAGTTTGAAAAAGAAAATAAATCTGGGGGTGTTGCGTAAGAGGCCCCCAGGCTACATTAGCCACTACTAGCATAACACACCAAAATCATGGATGTATTAAGGGAGAACTGGATACAGAGTTGGATACGGGGTTCTGTTCATTCTAATGGAAGTTGTTCAGTCGTGCACAAAGCCAAAAAAGATTTCCTGGAATAAAATTATCTGGATATTTTGCCTATTTTTCAGCTAACTTCCAGATTAGCCCTCCGCTAACTTGGGGGATAAAATTATTTCACTGTCTGGTTCTTCGAGACTTTCCAAATGTAACTGGACAGAAGATTCGCCATTGCTGTAATTACGCGGTATGACCATTTGGTCAAATTGGCTTCAAAGCCTTGGGGCTTGACCCAGATCTCAAACTCAACTGGCTGAGTTGCATTGTGGGTAGTATAGGTGCTGTATTCAATTCATTTCAGAGAAAAATAGAACCATATGTCCAAATCAATGTTAACTAAATTTTTGATTGTTAAAACATTCACACCAGCATGTTTTTATGAATCAGCCAGCAGATTGGGTTGGAATGTGAATGTTAATGTGACCTCGGCTACACCCAGT